ACGAATCAGATGAACATATTTCACAGTATCAACAGCATACTCCTATCTTGGTTTGCTAATGTTTGTCACGTATGTTAGGTGTTAGGGCCAAAACGGGAGATAATTAAAATGTCACTGCTAAGTCCAAGTTAACCACTAAATGGGATTAACTAAGTGGAGTTGACCACTATGGGGTGGGTTTTTTCCTAGGCTCTGAGATGCCTGACTTGCTGTGACTTTCAGTCTATGAAATGGTTATGTGTACTCAGGTAGTGAACAGAGGATTCAAGTATCTGTCTGTAATGTCACAAATATCTTGGAATGCTAGTCCAGATGTACACAGTCAATGCTCTGTTGAGATTCACCGCCCCCCCCCCCCCAAATGGCTGTACAGCTGTAAATGGAAGGGGTTTGACTTTTCAATGAAAGCCTTCCTGTTGAGATCCATTGGTTTAGGATTAGGTCCAAGAAGATTTATCTTGTGCTGCTGAGTGGTTTTATATGTTCCTCATTCTGCTTCCTTCTACATTCATTGACAAAAGGGTGACGAAGCATGTATATATACGACTGTATATAATAGCAGCTTTTATGTCATTCCTTCAAGTGAAGCATCAGGCATGGTATCCTCCTGAAATCGTCCAGCCAGCTGACGTTATAGTAAAATACTCATACAGATGGTTGTGGATGATGTCTTATGGTATTCATAATTCTCCATAGTTCAGATGCTATGCGGTTCTAATTTGATCTTTTTACTTTTATTAGCCTCGATGTCGGTGAAAGAGATTCTGCAAAGCTTAGTTGATGATGGCATGGTGGACACAGATAGAATTGGAACTTCCAATTATTTCTGGGCTTTTCCAAGTAAAGCTCTTCATGCCAGAAAGCGTAAATTGGAAGAATTGCAGTCTCAGGTAAATCTATTTTAAGGCAAGTACTTGTTTACCTGAATGGGTTTGCTTTTTCCTTATACCTTCTTGTCATTCTTTTTCATATTGTGTTCTCACGTGTGTGTATATGTGTGTGCACACACAGATTTTACTTTAGGAATCATCTGGCTTGCATGGTATGACATTCTTTCTCAATCTTGGCATTACTTCAGAAAAGTTTTGGAGGTTGTTCTTGTTGGAGCTTGAGAAGACTTCTTGTCCACTTCCTGATGAAAGCACATTATTCGTGATGCAGAACATCATTTAAGGACTTCCTCCAAATATTTAGGCAGCATATGCTTTCATGTGTCTTTTATATAATGTATGCCATCATGCGGTAATGATCTAAAAGCCATGAGAGGACTGAAATGGATATCCCAAGTAAATGTGGCAATGGTTCTCCTTATGGCCGTTGTGGTTTCCTGTCTGCCTTTATCAGTAGTTTAATTTGTGAGCACTTGTGTAATCCCATATTGCACTTTTATTAAGAGACAAGAGCAAATTGGTCATGATCTGCAGAAGAACAAGGCATTTTTTGTTGCAACGCTGCTGTTCTATTGATATGGTTCTTTCCTACTTTTTAGGAACTGTCTTGCTTCTTTTAATTGGAGTGGGAAAGCATCTATTCATCAGTTCATTTGCAACTGGGAGTACATGATAACAGGATCAATAAACTAGCTTTATGGTCTGATTGCACCACAACACTGCTAACTTCTCCCATGCTTATTTCGCATTATGTCCATTCATCAAAGAATCATTTGAATCATTGCAAAATTATTGATAGCATCTCAACATTTTTACAGACATTACTTTCTTCAGGCATACCTCTGGTGTCATTGTTGCTGTCTTAAGTATATAAGCGCTGTCAACTTCAGCTACTTCTTTAAAGCTCCAAATTAATTGTATGAAAACATGCTTTTTTTCCCCCGCATGAACTGAAAAAGCAGTTTGTGAATCGGAAGACTTTTCACCAAATCAGATTAAATAACTTGATCAATGCAGTTGAAATTGCTTGTTTATGCATAGAGTGTAGCGTGACCAGCTGAGAGATAACCCTGTCAGTTATCCCTTGCTATGCTGTCATTGCTTGTAAGTCTCAGTCATTACTAAACTGAAAGAGTTCAGTCCACTGTTCTGTTTTAACCAACATAAGATTCTTTCCCTTTGTCCTGAATGTTTCCATCACTGGCCTGGGTGCTCTAGACTGCTTTATTTGAAGGCATTTTGTGTGTCTGCTTGTGTGTATCTGGCAGAGGGAGGAGAGTACTGGTACTCTGTCCCATGCCTTGTGCGTCTGCTCCAGTGTTCAAGATCAAGAGTAAGACTAGCTAGAACTTTCACTCCCTTTCTCCTTATTCACTAATTCATGTCATTTTTATGAGCCAGTGATGCATTCAGGGTCTGTGGCAGTCAGGAGGAAGTACTGCAGTCCTTCCCATCCTTAACGGGAACTGTATATTGACAACCTTTCAGGCAGGTGCTTTGTATGAGTTGGAAAGTGCTGCTTGAGCTAACTCTTGTGGTACTGTATGGGTCGTCAAAATTATTGACTTTTTAATTTCAGGTTCTGCCACTGACTTGCTCTATGTTTTGAGTAACTTTCTCAGCATCTCAGATGACCTATTAGTATCACAGATATAAACTGTACCTTGTGTGTACTGAGACTTGGTTAATACCAAGTTGTCCCACTGACAATTTTGTCTGTTCCTTTACTGCCTTTATTTTCAGAACTCAAATGAGTCCAGGTGTTAAAAACTTTCTCTACTTAGTTGGATATGCTTGTACTATTTTCAGGCATGGACTTAGAGTCTGGCATGACTGGGCTTAAATTAATTTTTATTGACTGGTAGTAACAATGCACTGATTCCTACTCCAGTGAAGTTTTGTTTGTCTGAAACAGATCGGTTTAACTCTGCAGTGGCTTGGAACTGCGTTTCCTAGTGAAGTCACTCAACGTATTAGTATATTCACACAAGTTTTAGACCAGGCTACTTGCTGTGCCAACTGAGCAACTGAACAAATACATGCCAAAACACCTGCTTTGTTCACCAAACACCCTGGTGCCACTGTCTTGTTGAATGCAAATGATGTGCTCTTGGATACTTTCTGGGTTTGCTCATGCTGCATATTATAGCCAAGAAGTAGAATGAAGGAGTTGATATTTGTTGTCTTTGCCCTTGGGCCCAGTCCCATCGTGAATTTTAAAGATAATTGATCAAGCAGGTCTCTGGCATACCCTGATGAATATCTTCCTTGGAATTTCTAGCAGAATCTGCCTAATGTGCTCCACCATAAGTATCCAGGGGTTATCTACAAACATATGCTATACTGCTTTAAATGAGCTGTGACATTATTAAACATAAAACTATCTATTATTATGGAAATATAATTGGCATGCAGCTATTGTATTGTAATATTATTTCCTGGTTATTTCTGTGTAGTAAATAAACTATGCTGATATAACCAGTTTTGCAGTATAAAACTGTTCCAGTTGAAAGAAATATTTTTGTTAACAAACCCAAAGTAAGGGGTTGCAAAGTAAGTCCTGCTCCTAACATATGGGCTTACTGATACAAGAGCTCTCTTTACACCATGTTATGAATCCTTAAAAATACTTAGTCATCACCTTGCTTTTCTGATGAGAATGGAAATGTTTCAGCATTTCAGGGGAAAACACTTTCACTAGCTGAAAATACCTTCTCTGTTGACACAGTGAAAAGTTGGCATTTCCAACGAATGGCTCTGAACACTTTTACAAGTCAATACCAGATTCTGTCTGTGAGTTCAAATTAGCTACTTTAATGTTTGTATTCTTCTTGATGTGAACACATGCAGATTTTGTTAAGGGTTTCTAAATCCAGTCACCGAGTATCACAAAACTTCTTGTCAGAACATGCAAAGCAGAGACAAAGTAAGCTATTGTACCATTTCTGTTGCACAGTGCCTGTCTTTGATCATTCCTCTATACAGCTTGTGGCAAGCCGAGAGACGTGTTTTCTTTCTATGTCTTGTCCAGATCGCTTGTTAACTGCACGAGTTGGTCTCTTTCTTCAGCAGTTAAAAGCTGGCATCAAGCTGCCTTACTTAAAGCAAAAGTTTTAAAATCCAGCTGTTCAGTTCATATTGCAATTAAAGCTTTTTACCAGAAGGCAGTATCTTTTGTTTGCTGAGGGCATGGGTAGGCAGTGAAGGGAAAGGGGTGGTCCCAAATGCTGAACTGAAATGTTTGAAAATAATGTGGAGGAGCAGAAGCTTCTTCTCCATGATGCAAATTCTCCTGTTAATTCATAGAGCTGAGGCTTATGTTTAACAAATTGGCCCTGCTGCAGGACATTTTGCCTGCATATGTTGGTATTTCCTAATGTTTTGGCAAAGTTGCTTGTAGCTTTCTGCGTCTTGCAGAGCTTCTGATAGTGGGGGGGCTGGTTTAGGAATTGTTCTTGAAGCAAAATTTCTGTTTCAGATTTTTGTAGTGATTATTGAGCCACACCCCAGTTTGGAGATTCAGTAGCAAAGAAGTCTGACTCAGTATTTATAAAGAAAAGCAAACCAGTTTTGTCTGGATATTTAAAGTCACACCTCACAGTGGTTGGGTATACTTGAGATTTTTTTTCAGGAAGGATTTATTATGTCATCAGTGTGATCCTCTTGTGCAGTGACATGGCAATTAAAACCAATGCTTGAAATAAAGTTTCTGTTGACATAGCTTCCCCGCGGCCCCGTCATCTTTCAACTTGCTTTTGTGGGGGCAGGTGTTTGGAGAGGGGTGCTAACCCCTGAACTGACATATATGGCAAATCTTGTGCTGATCTAATTAAGATTAGGATCTTGGTGCTGCTCTCTAACCCAGGGTTACTGTTTGGACTTCTTCCTCTTTTTCTAAAAAGCAAGGACAGGGAATATCTTTAGTTTGTGTAGCATCTGCTGCAATTTTTTTCTCTGATAGCTCACAGAGTAAGAATTGCTAAGTAGGTCTCTATGGATTTTTGTATTGATTTGTTTTGCAGTAGCATGGCTGCTCTGAAAGGTTTATGCCTTCTGCCAGGTGCTTATTCTTCACCTCTTGGTTATGCTTATGCAGCTGTGAATTGGACCACTGAAAAAGTAAAAGGTGTTGGAAGTTGCATTCTGGTTTGATGGGTTTATAGTTGCATCAGTACAGATATGAGATGGTGAAACTAGAGCAAGAGTGTGGATTGAGAAATACTGTTTCAACAAGGTTTATAAGTGGAGAAGGTTTTAATGGCACTTCAGCTTTGTTGAAAGAACTGTGGAAGCTATACTGAGAGGGTGGGTTGTTCTTTTTCCTTCCATAAGAAAAGGTGAAAGGATGCAGTTTTATTCTTTATCAATAGTTTCCTGGCAGTCAGGTTCTGAAGTTTTGGATTACCTATGATCAATTATATTTTGTCAAAATGAGATGCTTATTCTTGGTATAGCAGTACTGGAAGCTTAGGGGTTTTATTAAAATAATGAAGACTTTGACCTACGCAGTGTAAGCAGAAAGATCGTCATTTATTGATGATTCTGCTGCCTTTTGTTGATTTCATAGTATGCATGAAATGAGGAGACTGGAGACGAGCAACTCCAGCATGGTAATCCCAGTCATGTTCAATCTCAGGCAAGAGCTGCTAATACGTTTCATACAATTAACCCCCTTTGCATGTTTGGTTTTTGTGTTGTTCTGATGTACGTGTTGCTACAGAAGGGGTACGAATGTGCAGGATATGTTACCTGCTAAAGAAGAGAAGGCCCATACGCAACCAAAACCTTGACAACAGTTTTATCAGGTAGGAAATGGCTTATCAGTGAGTGAGAAGAGTAACCTTTCTGATGTAACCTGAGTATAAACAGATTCAGCTTAGATTTTCTTTCATTTTTTCATCTGTGTCTTTGGTAAAACACTTGCAACTGTGCTGCTCCCTCTTTTAGGTAAGGTCAATTAATGCTTGTTTGCATTTTGCTTTATAGTGGCTTGAATTAAG